ACTTTAATCTCAGAATTCTGACTTTAATCTCAGAATTCTGACTTTTTTCTCAGAATTCTAACTTTAATCTCAGAATTCTAACTTTAATCTCAGAATTCGGACTTTTTTTCCCTCGGAATTTTGACTTTAATCTCAGAATTCTGGCAGCTAACAAACATGTTAGCATCAAGGCATAGCCATGTCTGTTTTAGAGACTAAACTCTCGCTCTCTTGTTTTAATCACCTTCTGTTCTTCCATTAATGGAATAGCATCACCAGGGACCCCTTGGGCACGTAAAAAGTTGCCTAATTCCGTCATTTTGTTCCTGGCCCTCTCAAACAACTGACATCTTAGTCAGTGAAGCTGAGTGCTCCCACATCTCTTGCTTCATGGTGCCCATCTACATTAAGATCCAAAAGTCTGAGATTAAATTCAGAATTCTGAGAAAAGTCAGAATTCAATGAAAAAAGTCAGAATTCTGAGATTGAAGTCAGATTATGACTTTTTTTCCTCATATACTGAAATAAAATTTAAAAAATCAGTTAACTTTTTAAATTTTTTTTAACGGCCCTAATGCTCTTCTATAAAAATTACACATGTGATATATATTTGAAATCTAACACCTTCTGGTTTCTAAATATATACATTAAAATTGGTTGAGTGAAAACACAGCCAAAATTGCATCAGTTCAAACATGACTTCTTATTCTCATGACTTTTTATTAGCGAAAATAATACTTGTCTTTTAAACAGCAGTAATAAAGATATGCTTGCTTGTTTTGGCTGCTTTTTTATGTTTACATTTTGACATTCTGGTATATCTGTGTTAATTGTGCTTTGGTGCTCGCTATGTCCATAAAATGAACTTGGTGGTTGAATTGTGGAGAATATAAGCTTTCCAAAGATGTCTAACATGTCTATATATTAAACATTTTACCAGTGTAATTTTCATGCATTCTGAGTTATTATTTATAAACGCTTTAAAACTGTGGGTTTTGAGAGGTTAACTCATATCTGAAATGTGTGACAGTCATACTACTTGCTCTGATAACCCTAAATAAAATCAAATGCAATATAACCACCGGATTAGTTTTTAGATCAGACCTGTGTGTAATTTAATCCCATTACAAATCCAGATGTTCTTTTGCAGCTTCAGGCATTCATTGGAGAGCATCAGAGAACAAACAGCTTCAACCCAGACCAAGGAGCACAGCAGACATGTTTAGTAAGTTGCATGGAGATGTTTAACACTGATTTAGGTTAATGACTAAAATCCAAATTATCTCACAGATTTCAGTCCATTATCTGTAAATGAAAAAGAGAAAAACATCCTCAATCCTGATAAAACTGACCAGCTGTGCAAGGAAAGCAAGTAGAGGTAACTCTGGTGAGGATGCATTTGGGCCACAGATCCAGTTGGGAAATTTCACAACAAAACCAGTAGTTATAACCTCTTAATATACTCCTCTTACTGAGGACATATGGTAGATAAAGAAAACCATGCATAAATAGATATTTTTTAGTCTATATACAAAATATGTGGTGGAAAACTAAAAAATATCATTCCTTGAAGGGAATAGTTTTCTTAAGGGTCAAAACTACCAATAAGGGTTGATTGTAAGATGGATGTTGTGAGGTTCAATGGAGTCCTGAAAGAAAACCCGTTTGATTAAATTAAAGTAACTGGATGTAAATCAAGTTGAGAATA